AGCTTTCTGGGTATTCATTTTTTTAGCTCATAAACAATGCGTTCGCCATTGTTTTGTCACGCATCATGTTTGGTGATAGTCTGAGAAAGTCCCGCCACGAATCGCTTCAAGTTCCAACTGAATGGAGACAGTCTCGTGCTTCTTTGTTGGAAACTTTCTTTCTACAATCCCAGCCTTGTCTTACAGTCTTCGCCGGAGGACTAACTTCAATGTTTTACCGCTTTCCTTCTCTTCGTCGCTGGAATCGATTTGCTTGTTTGTGAGCGATGAGTGTAAAGGTCGTTCCACGTTTCAGCCACGAAGATTGACTTGCAGTAACGTCAGTCGGAACAAGGGTAGTATTAGTGCTACAAAGAAGAAGCCTAACAAAACTAATATTGTAGCCAAGCCAAAGCAGGGTAAAACTCGGCCTGCTACTGCTGCTTCTAAGGTTAAGAAAAGTAGTATTAGTTGTACCATAGAAATAGTTGCGGAATTGGATGGTGGGAAGCAGCAGAAACAGGAGAAGCAGACGAGAGAGAAAGCCGTGAACGTGCGGGCCTTGTATCAGAATGGAGACCCGTTGGGACGAAGAGACCTTGGGAAGAGCGTGGTGAGGTGGATCAGCCAAGGGATGAGGGCAATGGCTTCAGATTTTGCGTCTGCGGAGGTTCATGGGGAGTTTTCCGAGCTCCGGCAATGGATGGGACCTGGGCTTACTTTCGTGATTGAATCGCAGCATTATCTTAATGCCATTCCTATGCCGCTTGGCCTTGAAGCTATTTGCTTGAAGGTCTGCACGCATTACCCAACTCTCTTTGATCATTTCCAGAGGGAGCTGCGTAATGTTCTGCAGGAACTGCAGCGTGAATCGGTGGTTCAAGATTGGAGCAGCACAGAGTCTTGGAAGCTGCTGAAGGAGCTAGCAAATTCAGGTTTTCCTCTTTTTCAATCTTCCCTTCTCGCTCTCTTATTTCTTGGATAGTTGCCTTGTAGCCTGCTTGAAGTGTTAGTTACTTGGTATGTAATCCTTTCTTGGATGGCTGCTTTGCAGTCTAGGTGTTATTTATATGGTATGTAATTCTTTCTACCATGCTTGGATTGTTACTTGTACTGGGTCTGTAGTTTGGTTGAAAAGTAGGCTTAGGCTGAGTTGGTGTATTTGCAGCTCAGCATAGAGCAATTGCACGGAAAGTTACCCAGCCAAAGACCGTCCAAGGTGTTATGGGAATGGATTTAGAGAAGGCCAAGGCTATACAAGGCAGGATTGATGAGTTTACAAGTAGAATGTCTGAACTGCTTCGCATAGAGAGAGATGCAGAATTGGAGTTTACGCAGGAGGAGTTGGATGCTATTCCTACTCCTGATGGGGATTCAGATTCCTCCAAGCCAATTGAGTTCTTGGTTAGCCATGGCCAGGCTCAGCAAGAGCTATGTGACACCATATGCAATTTATATGCAGTTAGCACATCTACAGGTTAGCAGTTAGTATTTATTATTTTTGTCTTGGCCAATAACCACTCTAATGAGCAGCTGAATTGCCTTATTTTTGTCTTTATTTTTCTCCGACTTTGTAACTCATGAATTAACTGGACATGCTACTTTAGTTTTGTAGAGTATCAGTAATTGGCGGTTGGTTTGCAGGATTGGGAGGCATGCACTTGGTTTTATTTAGGGTTGAAGGCAATCATCGACTACCTCCTACTACACTTTCTCCTGGAGACATGGTCTGTGTGAGGACATGTGATAGCAGGGGTGCAGGTGCTACATCATGCATACAAGGGTTTGTTGATAACCTTGGTCGTGATGGTTGTAGCATCAGTATAGCCCTGGAGTCTCGTCATGGTGACCCTACGTTCTCTAAGCTTTTTGGGAAGAGTGTGCGAATTGATCGTATTCAAGGACTGGCAGATGCTCTCACTTATGAGGTGTGAGATATTTGATTACTGAATTTCATATTTTTATCCTTCACATTTATGTTCCTTGCAAGCCAAATAGTGTAGTTTTGTTCCTGTTGCAGTTCTTCTCAATTTGGTTAAGTTTGAGTTTTTGGTGTCTAATTCTCTCTTATGCAGTTCTATAATATACATGTGCATAAGGAAAGAAAAATGTTAAACAAGCATCAGGAGTTTGTAATATTTTTTATTATATAGGATCATTTTGCATAGACTGAGTACTCAGTTCTCACCATCAAGGTATCAAGCACTCACTCTATGAGAAACATCCTAGCAACCAGAAAATTCAATATATTGAATGCCTGAATTAAACTTTTAAACCTAAAGAAATGCACTTAGTTGATTAATGTATGCTCTAACATATTGTTGGATAATGTAGACCAAAAGTGGAAGGTATAATAAACTTCCGACGTATGCAATTAAGATAGTTTATCTATTGAAAATGCTTTCTTTTTTAGGGCAATGGGAAAAAGGAAATAAATTGAAGAGCAATAAGGGGAAGCCTCACAAGTACAAATAGCACATGGATCTCATTGAATTTGGTCCATCTAACTATTTCTTGGATTTAATAGTTTTTTGTTCTTCCAAATGTCTGAGATAGTAATATGAAATTCTTTTCTCCCATTACAAATCCAAGCTGCCAAATTTTCTTTTCTGGAGACCACTCTGTCTAGTTCTCATGACTTGAGATTTTGCATATCTTTGGCCAATAATTTTAAGGTTTCACTAGTTTATATAGTGATACTATATTCTCTTTGCAGGCCTGAGATAATATTTTTTAGTTGATATAAGATCACAAATAAGTCTCAAGGCATTCGCACACTGGTACATATGGTTCTAAATTTCAACATTGTTCATACATTTTCAAACATCTACATCAACAAATTTGTCTAGCCATACAGCAGAATCTCTTGTCCCACTTCTTGCCAACCTTCTTTTGGTATGTGCATAGTTTTGTGTCATTTTTTCACTTTAATGTAATCTTTTTCTGCAGCGCAACTGTGAGGCCCTAATGCTGCTCCAAAAGAATGGTCTGCAGAAGAAGAACCCATCAATTGCTGTAGTGGCTACATTATTTGGGGACAAGGAAGATGTTACATGGCTGGAAGAGAATAAGTTGGCAGATTGGTCTGAAGCTGAGTTTTGTGGAATTAAGAGCGAATATTTTGATGATTCCCAGAAAAAAACAATTGCTTTGGGGTTGAATAAGAAGCACCCTGTATTGGTAATACAAGGACCACCTGGAACTGGAAAGACTGGTTTGCTTAAGGAACTAATAGCACTTGCTGTTCAGCAGGGTGAAAGGGTGCTCATGACAGCTCCTACAAATGCAGCTGTTGACAACATGGTCGAGAAACTTGCAAGTATCGGCTTAAATATTGTCCGAGTTGGAAATCCAGCACGCATATCTTCAGCTGTGGCATCAAAGTCTTTGGTTGAAATTGTGAATTCTAAGCTTGAAAGTTTTCGAAGAGAGTTTGAAAGGAAAAAATCAGATCTGAGAAAGGATTTGCAACTTTGTTTGAAGGATGACTCTTTAGCAGCTGGCATACGCCAACTTTTGAAACAGCTAGGAAAGGCCCTGAAGAAGAAAGAAAAGGAGACTGTGAAAGAAGTACTTTCCAATGCACAGGTAGTGCTTGCTACCAGTACTGGAGCAGCTGACCCATTGATTCGAAGGCTAGATACGTTTGACCTTGTTGTTATAGATGAAGCTGGTCAGGCTATTGAGCCCTCTTGTTGGATCCCTATATTACAAGGAAGACGCTGTATTCTAGCAGGTGATCAGTGTCAGCTTGCTCCTGTAATTCTATCCAGAAAAGCCTTAGAGGGTGGCCTTGGTGTGTCTTTATTGGAGAGAGCTGCAATGTTGCATGAAGGCCTTCTTGGTACAGTGTTGACAACTCAGTACCGTATGAATGATGCGATTGCCAGTTGGGCCTCAAAGGAGATGTATAATGGGTTATTGAAGTCTTCTCCAAATGTTGCTTCTCATCTCCTCATTGATTCTCCATTTGTCATGGTATAATTCTCTTTCCTGATTCTGTTATTCTTTGAATTTGAGTACACATATTTTTTCAACTGTTAGTTACATGTGCTGCACTTTTGGAGTTAAGTCCTATGTTACTGATCTTTTAATTTCAACTTTCTTCCATATTACAGTTGTTTTATCTTGGAATTTTCACTTGCATTTGGTTGAACTCTTTGCCCCATGATATAATGATTGGCAAAAATTTTTGGGAGTTAATGTTCACAGCTAGTTCATACTTCAGTTTGAACAAATATGGAAGGTTGCATTGGCAAATCAAAATGGTATAGAATGAAGCCCCTTATAACTAATTAATGATAGAAAAATATATCCTAAGATTTCTCCTAGTGGGAAAGTCTATTTGTATGTTGAAATGTCATATGAGCAGTGAAATCTAGAGGCTAGTTTTTCTTGTTCCTTTTATTTTCCTTCCATCTCCCACCTTCATGCTTCCTTTTTTTTTGGTTGTTGTACATAGGATGGCTTTTATAATTTCTATACATTATTGCAGCCAACATCGGTTACACAGTGCCCATTGCTGTTGCTTGATACAAGAAAGCCATATGGAAGTTTGTCTGTTGGCTGTGAAGAACATTTAGACCCAGCTGGCACAGGTTCATTTTACAATGAAGGAGAAGTAGACATTGTTGTCCAACACATATTTTCCTTGATTTATGCAGGTAAATATTCATGTCTAATATAGCTTAAGCACAGGTTTTTTATCTTCTCATGCATATTCTACCGTGAATTTGAATGATGGACTGAAAATAACAGAAAAATCTCATACAACTTGGCACCTATTCTGCAGGTAGTAAACCCATCACAACTTTCAGATTGAGAATAAAACAAATAGTTCTTTCGAAAAAAAAAAAAAGATAATGCCTTGACAAAAGTTACTTGCCACATGATAAGAAGTTAATAAGATGCTTACATGAACTCCATTTAATATATTGAATCTCTAATTATAACTTTGACCTTGTGCTTGATAATTATAGAGATTTTGAGCGAAAAAATTTGTGTGTGCTCTTAGGAGAATTCTCATTATATATATACATATACAAGCTAATTTTCAGCTCCTAAATTAGGTAAATAAATCTGTCTTAATTAAAATTATTAAAACTATATAAGTCATAAAAATAATATATAAAATCTGTTGGGCAATTAATTTCATAATTTGGTGGTATAATTGTCTGAAATCTACTAATTAATTGTATAAAATGTGCCTTCATAATTGTATAATATATGCTGACTAATTGCATGAAATTTGGTGCCATTATTGTATAAAATCTATTAGTTAATTATATATAATCTGGTGTCATGATTGTATAATATCTGCTGACTAATTGCATAAAATTTGCTGTCATAATTTTATAAAATCTATTGGTTAATTACATAATATCTGCTGGTTAATTGTATAAAATCTGCTGTCTAGTTAATCGCCAGTTAATTCCTTTGACAGTGCTTATATATGTTTTTTTTTTAACTGCAAATTAAACAAGTTTTTGTGGACAAGTTAGTGTTACAAAGTACCCAAACTGTGAGAAAAGGCTGAAGCGTGAATAAAGGAATTGCCTTTACTGGTAGATTCATCCATTCAGTGTCACTAGAACTAGCAATTATTATAAATGATAATAAGTTTTGCAAGCTGACAATGATTGGCCTGAAATTATTAGCTGATATGATCATTAATTTCAGTCTGAATTACCACTGTCATACATCTGTGTATATACATAATTATATGTCTAAATGCCAGTTAAACAAAAATCAGGCAGATAAGTATGTATATGTGGATGAAAGTGGTTATTCTGGTCAAGCTTGGATTAGGGGAGAAGAGCCATTTATTTTCAAGGTTGGGTCGTGAAAGAAGGGCCATTTATTAGGGAATCAGGCAGATAATATGTTTTTGTGGATGAAAGTAGCTTGGACTAGGGAATAAGGGCCCCCTGTTATCAAGCTTCTTTTCTAACCGGGACTCTTGAAAGGTGTTTTTTCGACACTTTTTGGAACTGTGTTATTCTGAGAAATAACTTCATTAAAACACAAGTGTAGAAATTAGAATCATATTAGAGTTTCATAATCATGTGGGTGACTGATATTACAAATTTACAAAGATTTAGATGTTGATTTAACATAATATATATTTTTTTTATAGTGGTTATAGCAAACTTATTTACTTGGCCCACACCAACAATTTTGGTGACTGTACTTTGACTGGCTTCTTAATCAATAATTATTTTGTGTTGAATATGACTTCCAACTATAAGCTAATTCTATCCTCTTATTTTCATCATTGCCTAGAATACCTAAGGGACCCTTATTTATGGAAGTAGCGAGTTACAACATAGCAAAGAAAGATCACGAGCGAATGTGAGATAAATTCTAAATAGAATGACTTGAGTAGCTAAATTCACATCAACCATCAGCCTTGGTATTAGGCTCATTTGCAACAGTTGACCTCCATGATGAACCTTTTCTGCCCCAATATATTTTGTTAATTTTATTAGAAGCTTCCACAACTAAACTCTGGCTCCACAGCCAATTCAAATTTATGACTAAAATTTCTGGAAAGCTTATTTTTTGATCTCTTCAACATTAGATCATGCAGTGCTTTTATCCTGCTGATTCTTGTATTTCAATGATAGAGCTTCGATGTAGTTAGTATGGTGGCTTCTATCTTAAGTCTTCTGTAGTTCTGTTGTTTATGTCTTTTACTAATCTACTGCAACTATTTTTTTGATGAAATAAACCCTTTCTTTCTTTTTCTTTCCAAATCTGTTATGCAGGTGTTAGCCCAACAGCTATTGCAGTGCAATCACCTTATGTTGCGCAGGTACAACTATTAAGAGACAGGCTTGATGAGTTTCCTCAGGCTACAGGAGTTGAAGTTGCAACAATTGACAGCTTTCAAGGAAGGGAGGCTGATGCAGTTATCATATCAATGGTATGGCTCTAAAATTGTGCATATTGTACTTCTTACTAAGTAGGTTTTTTTAACGACCCCGGAAATTTAAAAAGAAATGCATATAATAATTTAAGTGCGGTAGCGAAATAAAGGTTAAAGTTAACATCGTTTACACGATAACTCAAAAGTACTAACAAATATTACGGAACAAATTTTCTGAAAAAAATACGAAAAATAGAAAAAAATAAAGGAAACTATAAAGTATCTACCATCTACTTGTAGCTTTCTTGCGGATCGGACTCAGGAACCGGGTTCTCCTGATCTGAAATGGTTAAATAAGGGGTGAGCTACACTAGTCGAGTAATGATATCACACTATATCGCCGTCACAAAAGTAAAGGTTGGTAGAAAATCAAAACAACCAATGGAGCAGTAGATTCAAATAGATTTGTTTATCATAAATGAAATCATTTACAGTTCACTTACCAGTGTGGAATTTATGGAAACAATTTATAAAAGCAATAATATCATACGGATCACAATTCATGCATAATCAGTAACATAGAACATATCATAAATTCGTATTCATCAACAATAATTGATCATCACCACTTCTTGTTTCACCAGTCTACTAGTATCCATGGGGATCCATAGGGGTGTCCTCGCTACACGTGAACTATTTTTCTTAACAATTTTAATTTCAGGGCCGTCTCCATACCCCGTCTGGTATGAGCGCCAAATGACCAAATCTCCATACTCCGTCTGGTATGAGACAACATTCACGGTAGGGTTCCCTATGAATTCAGTCTGTTTACCATCTCTCAAGATATCTAGTGAGCCTGTCACCTTATCCATTTATCAGATCACATCCCATTCCTGTTTGTCCTTAATCTTCGTCACCAAATCAAACATAAATATATAAACAAGTAACATGCATCCAACAACGCAATCATATATTAGATTCCCAAAATCAAACAGTAGTGAAGTAAGCACTGATATATGCATTTAAAACCACAGAATAGATAAACCAGATATCATAATGCATTTAAACTGTAAAATAAATTAAACAGGAATCGATAGAAAATAATGTTCGGCTCGGGTTCCATTAGCAACCGTAATTAATTATGTATATCTATTTAATTTGTACAGAATACAGTATTATTATTTATTCAAACTTCACATCTATGATAGGAAATAGGGTGAGGGGTCCTTACTTGATTCAACGCCGAAAACTAGATGGTTATTGCATCTACGGGCGACCATCGGGTTTCTTGAATTTTCCTTTGGGAAATGAAACACGGTTATGGTATCTACAAGTGTCCCAAATAAACTCAAAAATCAGACCCAGAGCCTACTTGACCAATTTTGGAATTCTGGCACGGCGACTCTGCCGTGCTCTTGCGATGGCGTCGTCGCCCGCAGTGGCAATTCGCCTCGGGTTGGCTGTTTTCGGCCGAATTTAACCGAACTTGTACCGGTTCCTACGAGAAAACAACTTAGGGCCATCGGTAAGCCGAAAAAACGCAGAAAATCGAAACTCGCTGGCGGTGGGGCTCTCAGTGTTGCGGCTCCTCCGGCTCACATTGCGGTTAGATGTTTTAATTCGGTCAACCTGTAGAGAAGGAAACAGTGGTCACAATGGTGGAAAAATCACATCAAACGGGAATCGGAGAGGGCCTCATCGGAGGCGTTTTCCAAAACACCCCGCAGCGGCGGCGGCGCCGTGATTCGGCGATATTTTTTGGCCAATTAGCCAGTTCTTTCACTCCGATTTGGCCATGAGTGCGTTTAAAATTGAATTTTGTGCAAGAGGAAAATTTTTTACCTTGTTTAGAGGTCGAAAATTCCTCCGGTACGGCGGCAGGTGGCGGCAGTCGACTCCCCGACGGCTAGGCTGTCTTCTCTGGCGAGGGGCTCTGGTTAGAGTTTGGGAGCGGATGGGGTTATTTATACCCATTCGCTTTTGATATGGGCCGTCCATCACTTTTAATCTGGACCGTCCGATTGCGATTAAATAGGGAGTAAATTTGAGTCGTCCATCGCGATTCAATCTGAGCCGTTCGTGCGCGATTCAATATGGGCTGTCCGTGCATGATTCAATATGAGTCGTCCGTGCGTATTTTTGATCTGGGCCGTCCGTGCGCGCGGGAACAGATCTCATCCGTTCGATCGCGCGCACGCGGATCGCCCACGTGGCTCCCCCCGCGTGGCCCCCCGTGTCAGCGCCTCTGCCACCTGGCGCATCCTGATTGGTCGGGGCTGCTAATCGGGCAGCTGACGTGGCGTAACTTTTCTAAATTGCGTTTTGACTCCTAATTTTTTATTTTTCTTTCAAAAATATTCTCAGAACCTAAATTTTCATCTATTTTTCTCAAAATTGTTTTCAATTAAATCCCTAACTAATTTTTTTACCTATTATTATCATTATTATTATTATTATTATTATTTTCATTAAATCAAATTAAAATAAATTAAAATCATATAAATAATAATTATATTTATATAAAAAATAATAATTAAATAAAAATAAAAATAATTAAATGTTGGGTGTTACAACTCTCTTCCCCGTAAAAGAAATTTGATCCATCAAATTTGTCTCTTACTCTCGATCGAACAGCTGGGGGTACTAAGCTCTAAAGTCTGATTTTAGCTCCCATGTGGCCTTCTTTGGTGTGTGGTTATGCCATATGACTTTCACGAAGGATATCTCCGGTTGCGGAGTAATCTGCTCTTTCGATCCGCAATGCCGACTGGTACTTTCTCGTAGGATAAATTCTCCTGGATTGGAAGAGGTTCGTGGGCCAAGACATGAAAGGGATCCGGGTTGTACTTGCGTAGCATGGACACATGAAACACATTGTGGACTTTAAAAAGTTCTGGAGGCAGTGCTAGTCTGTAGGCGGCAGTACCAATCCTCTCTAAAACTTCAAATGGTCCAATAAATCAGGGGTTCAGTTTCTCCCTCTTGTCGAACCTACTGATTCCCTTAAAAAGAGTGACCTTAAAGAACACTCGGTCGCCTTTCTCAAACGCTAAATCTCTCCTCCGGTGTCCGCATAACTCTTCTGCCTGTTCTGAGCCGTCTGAATGTTCTTCTTGATTTTAAATATTTTGGATGTAATCTCATCTACCAGTTCCGGGCCGAACAATTTTCTATCGTTCACTTTTTTCCAACAAATCGGCGATCTGCATGGGGCGCCCATATAATGCCTCATACAGAGCTATGCCAATACTCGCTTGGTAGCTGTTGTTGTAGACGAACTCTATCAGGGGTAGATGGTCGTCCCAATGGCACCCGGAGTCAAGGACACAAGCTTGGAGCATATCTTCAAGTGTACGGATTGTCCTTTCTAACTGTCCATCAGTCTGAGGGTGGAAGACAGTACTGAGGGACAGCTTTGTTCCCATGTCTTGCTGAAAGTTACTTCAAAATCGAGAAGTGAATCGGGAGTCCCTGTCGGATACCACTGTCACTGGGACTCCATGCAATCTGACTTTTTCCTAGATATACATTCTTGCTAATTTGTCTAAGGGATCGGTCATCCTGATGGTTAAGAAGTGGGAAGACTTGGTAAGCCAGTCAAAAATTACCCAGATGGCATAATGTCCTGAGCGTGTCTTAGGTAACCCTGTCACAAAGTCCATAGTGATATATTCCCACTTCCACTCTGGGATCGGTAATGGCTGAAGTAACCTGACTAGGCGCTGATGCTCTGCCTTGACCTGCTGACATACCAAGCATTTAGACACAAAGTCAGCTATGTCTCTTTTCATCCCGTTCCTCCAAAACTGGGGTCGTATACTTTGGTATATTTTAGTACTTCCGGGATGCATAACAAACTTTGAGCTATGGGCCTCTATCATGATATCTCTCTTTAACTCACTGTCACCTGGAACACACACCATGTCCTGGAATCGGAGTAACCCATCAGCGGAGACTCAAAATTCTGAGCTAACTCCCTGTTGTACATCGTTCTTGAAGGCTACTAGGGCGGGATCAGCTGACTGAGTTTCCCTTATTCTCTGGATTAACTCAGGCTGGACGGTCAGATGACCCAAACATGTGACTCTCATCAAGTCCTGAAGTCGAACCTGTTGTGTGGCCCCAATTTGCCTGTATTCTGAGACCATTAAATAGACTAAGATACTTGCACTTTTTCTGCTGAGTGCATCGGCCATCACATTGCCCTTACCCGGATGGTACAAGATGTCACAATCATAGTTCTTAAGAAGTTCTATCCATCTTCTCTTACGCATGTTGAGATCCTTCTGAGTGAATATGTGTTTTAAACTCTTATTATCGGTATAAATCTGAAAAGTTTCTCCATATAAATAATGGTGTCAAGTCTTCAAGGCATGTATGATTGCGGCAAGCTCTAAGTCATGGGTGGGATAATTTTTCTCATGACTCTTTAACTTTTTAGACCCATAGGCTATAACCTTCCTATGCTGCATTAAAACACAACCCAGACCTAGATAGGAGGCATCATTATAAACTGTATACCCCCCCGATCCACTCGGTAAGGCCAGCACAGGTGCAGTAGTCAGCCACTTCTTTATTTATGAAAAACTTCTTTCACGGTCCTCATTCCACTCAAACTTGGCATTCTTCTTTGTAAGTCGGGTTAGGGGAGCAGTTAGACTAGAAAATTCTTCAACAAACCTGCGGTAATAGCCCGTTATTCCCAGAAAGTTATGGATTTCTTTAACTGATGTCAATTTCTCCCATCCGAGCACCGCTTCAACTTTTTCAGGATTCACTGATACTCAATCCTTTGATATGATGTGTCCCAGGAAGGTGGTCTGATCAAGCCAAAATCCATACTTACTCAACTTTGCATACAGTTTCTTTTTTCTGAAAACCTGCAAAACTTGAGGTAGATGGTGAACATGTTCCTTTCTGCTTTTTAAATAGACCAGGATGTCATCGATGAACACGATAACAAATTGATTTAAGAATTGTCTGAAAACCTTGTTTATCAGATCCATGAAGATGGTTGGGGCATTGGTTACCCAAATGGCATGACTAGAAACTCATAG